TCCTAAAAACATGCCCCCCCCCCCCCCCCCGATTTGTCTGGTTTCTTGAACATAAAAATTTCATGGTCTGATTTACTGATGTAAGCAGCAGAAATGAATTGTACTGAAATAATCCCGTATGTTTCGACATCATGGTAATCATAGGATCCTAATTACAGAAGAAAGCTTTGTCTTAGAAAAATACGAATCCCTCAGATGTGAAATGTTACATTTGCACAATTAAAATAAACTCGTGTAGTTTGGCCGTGTGGAAAACATGGTAAATTATACTTTGCTGCAGAGCACCATTTGAAATTCCTACCTCTGAATAAATTAAATTAGGCAATAAGGAGGAGACTGATTCCTCCTGTCATCACAATGTGTAATTGATGTCTCTGCTGAGAACTGAACCTCTTTCTGTTATAGTAAATTATTGTTTTTATTCTTACAGTTAACCAGTTCTGGTTATTTTGCTCATGAGTGTCAAAATCCAGTTGGTTAATTAAAGAAAATAGCAGTAATGAAAATGAAACAGTGCAAACCCTGTAAATATAGCGGACATATTTTTGTCTGCCGTAGAACTGCATTTAATTTTATTTTCTTAATGTAGCTTTTTTTTTTTTTGGAAGTTATTTATTTATAACATCACACAGACTGAGTGATGCATCTGACCCTCCATCTCTGAAATGTATAACCTTCTGTTACTTAAATCTATTTCATTTTACATTTACAAATAGGTTTTATCTTCAGAAGAGGTGACATTAAAGGACAGTCAGTGTTTCGTCCTTTGCTGAAATCGAACGTTTGCCCATGCCGAACGGAACCGGCCGTAATTGTGCTCTGGAACTCCGGGCCTGTGTTAATGGCGTGTCTAACAGCTTCCTCACAAGCTCATTAGGCGGTTCTAGTGCATGGACAGAATGCAGCCTTAAAAGGCCGTTAATGACCCTCATCCTGACGCGCGCTGGCTCTCTTCCCAGTGCTGCTCGATGGAGCCGCTCACCCCATCCGTCGCTCCGGGTGCCATGGCTTTAACACTTGATGAAAAATTCAAGCTGCAGAATTTCATTAAACTACCAAGACATTACTATACTGGTGATGTAAACCACTGTGCTTTAACCAAACCCAACTGCTTTCAGAAAAGAAGGCTGGGAATGTCTTTGTCTTAAAAAATCTGTTTCATTTCCTAGTACAAGTTGACAATTTGACATTTTTCTCTCTCCCAAAACAGTGTAAGTCCTGGTGCTCATAACCCAATCAACTTTTGGCTATTACACACTAAAGGGTCGAACTGCTGCAGAGTCGTGTTTCATTATATGATGCCGTTGTGGAATCAGCTTTACATGACCAGCGTTTGGTGAGGCTCCACTGGCATATTCAAATACTCTCAGTGCACGACATCATCTTAATTTGCTTCAATGACTTTCACGCACTTTCAGTGTATCTTCCAACGTTAGAAACTCACATAGTGAAACGGAATTTTTAGTTGTCAACAGGGGCAACTATGGGTGGGTGGGTGGGGGGGGGGGGTTGCAGCCACCTGAAGAAATATGGGATGTCACCCCAAGATTCAATTTGCTGGGGGGAGGGATTGCCCCCATGATTCTATTTGCTTGCAAAAGGGGGGGTCGTCCCATATGACACAATCTTCCAAGAGGGAGTAATGAAACATGTATGAACATACAGAACAAATAACTAAATGATTTTAGAATAATTATTTTTCAAGGCTGGGATTACGACAAAAAATAGTGGGGTGGGCTGAAGCCCCCTTAAATGGGGTCTAGAATCACCTATAGATGTCAGTTTGATCAGAGAATGAACACAACAGATAAACAGATGATATTGTAAGTGTTTGTGCTCAAAGTAAGAGTACAATAATTAGTACAAAGGCTTTATTAATACCCTGGGCATGCAGAAAAAAATTGAATCCAGAAAGTGCATCCTTCTTTACTGTATAGTACCATCTACTGACAGTAAAAAGCAATAGAATTCAAACAATAACATGAAATCGATAGCTTTAATAATAATGAAAGCAATTAATTACCACTCTCAAGTAAATAAAAGCTATTCCTCCTTTATCAGTTTCATGTCTGTTACATGTATCATTTTCAACAACTACTCAGTTTTTGCGATACACATTTAGACATATTGGGGGAACATTTGCTGTATTCTTGAGCTTTTTGTTAATGGATTGCATTTGATTCATTTGACTCGTTTGCGACTAATAGACTACATCTGAAATTCTGATTTTCTGAAAGGGGCTGGTGGTGGCAGAGTGGTTAGTGCCTTCAGAGAGTGGGGATTGGGTCTCCCTGGCTTCATGTGTGTGCAGTTTGCATGTTCTCCCTGCATCATTGTGGGGTTTCCCCTCACAGTCCAAAAACACACTAAAGTGAGTTGCCGTAACCAGATTGCGAATGGTGTATACTGTATACCTTGAGATGGGGTGCCACCAAATCCTGGGTCATGGATGAATTTTTAAGTCTACAGATGTACAGTAGGCATGAAATATTTGTATGTCGGATGTTAGAAAGTATAGCAAGAATTCTGAACAAGAGAGGCAGCTCTGGCTTGTTCTGTTTGAGTCCTGACCTTGTTTTTACCTTGTCATTTTACTATATCTGCATATTCCCTACCCTCTGGTATACTCTGTACTCCTTGTCTTTATAAGGTCTCAATTATACCACCAACTGCTTTGCGACCTTCATTGGTTTTATTGGATTTCAATAAATATGCATTTCTCTGTAATGTGAATTTTAATCGAGCAGCTAATTGATTCTGTCATACAAACACGCAGTAAACTGGACATTCCTGCGAATTAACCTACGGAGAGCTACACTGTTGCACAAGTTGCGTGTCGTAATCTAAAAATAGTCGCATTAATAGTAACGAAATGCTCCTCGATCCCTTGGGCCTCCAGGCTGTCCATTAACTGCAGAATGGTATTCAATAACGGTTTCCCCTTCTTTTTGCAACACTCAGGCTAAGGCAATATCCTATTGGCTAACTCAGCAGTATTTTGTTTAGCAGTTACAACAGCCCTGTCTGTAACACAGCCGTCGTAATAATGCAGTTACTTACACATTTGCCCGGGGGCCATGAATGCTAACTGCTAATCCCGATCCACACATACACAGAGCCTCCCTGAAACTGACAGAATCTAGTCCCAGGAGGCTCACCGTTACTGGGAAAAAGTATTAACCCAAAACGCTGTTGTGCTTATCTAACTGTGTAAAAATAAAATGTTTGACAGAGAAGTCTGCTATCTAAACTAATTAAAAAGTAATAAGAATATGCTTACAGTGTTTAAGTGTCATTGGTTGCTACCATCTTCCTATCAAATTAAATTGTAACTATCTAAAAAGTTAGTACTGAACATATACCCTGCAGCCGATGCTAAATGGTATTGTGGCTACTGGTCATATTGTAAGGCAGAGCCATTTATCATGTATGGCCCGAGGGCCCTGCGATGGCTTGGCCCCCCCATCCTGGGTTGTTCCCTGCCTTGCGCTTGAGGCCTCTGAGATGGACCCCCATCAACCCTGACTAGGACAAGCGGTTTCAGAAAATGGATGGATGGATGGATAGATGGCCTGAGGGTGATCCAGCTCATAGGATCCTCATCGCTGGGGATCCCAGCGGCTGGACCAGGTCCAGGGGACGCCCACATACTGCACTACCTGGCTGCGGCAGAGAGATGACATTTCCGAAGGGTGGGACTGGACCATGTGTCAGCCGGGGGGGGGTCGCTAGCTGGGGTCCCGGGTGGGTGCAGCAATGCGCTGTACCAGTCTAACCGAACCTGCCATTAGCATTTGCTGCAGCTGTCCCTCAGGAATTCAGGAATGTGTATATATGAATAAGTTTTATTTTGCTTCAGCTCCAATAAGATGAAACCCAGATCTGATGGTAATCTTAGGATTAATCTCAGAATTTGTCACAGTTAGCTTTCCTATTTATCCCATTTCACTGTTTGTTCATTTGTCTTTTGTTTGTCAGCTCTAGTTATCTAACAGCACTCCCACCAATCAACCCTGTGTTAACCACTGTAATCCATAGTCTTGCCAATTTGCCCTGAAAGAAAATTACTGTCCAAAGACCTTTGTGATTTGTGACAAAACCTTATTTTCCAAGTATCGATCCCTGGGAAATCTGCAAAATGCAAAGCCTCTGGCAGACAGATTTTCTGTCATGTACTACAGGAGGAATCAGATGTTAATGTCACATTTTTCCAGTGACCTGTGCTTATCTGGCTTCATGTATCTTTGTTAATCGTGTAGCTCATAATTTTCTTGAAACGTTGCTGCATCTGTGGATGGATCTTGGTGGGATTGCTCTCCTTCCAAAGGAAGTATCAGTGCTGATTGAAGCATCATTCCTCTGTTCGAATGCGGAGTATCAGTGCTGATTGAAGCATCATTCCTCTGTTCAAATGCAGAGTATCAGTGTTCATCAATATGCATACTGGACTGTTCTCGTGTTCTCTAATACCTGTTTGACATCAACTTCCATTGCCAAAGTACAGTTCCAATACTCCAGAAAAGATGTACGGTGGTAAAAATCTCTAGATGTCGTTCTGGCCCCACCTCAGATATCAAGGATGTATCAGTTACATCCTCGGTAACAAGAAAAATCGCGATGCTTCACTGCATTCACGATGCTTCACTGCATCCCAAGTTCATTCTTGGGAGGCAAATTAGCAAGAATCCTTTTGCGAAGAACACAAGTGTGATATTTGTGTTCTCAGTATTGAGAAACACCCTGTGTGTTTTGACACTCAACATTTGATTTGAGTTCCTGCCACAATAACACTGAGAACAGGCCTTCAGCGTTTTGTTGTCTAGGCTATTCCTTAAGCTGCATCATTTGCTAAAATGTGTTATATAGAAGTAAATAAAAGCCAGGCTATGCAAATCAAAGTCTTTCATAGCAGGCGACATGGAAATTATACCAGGTCTACCTGAAGCAATGGGTGTTTTAAATAATGTGCCGCACACTCATCTCTTTCGTTGTTTCCGTAGGTTTTCTGTGCCAGCACATCACTTCCCGGGAAGTCGGTCCTTCTTGCAGGAAGCCCTAAGTCTACATTACAGCAGATATGGACAGGAAGCACTAAGGACTTGTCCATCAGCCGCCTCTTGTCACAGGCTCTCGGTGGGAAGGAGAATGGCAGTTCCCTGGACCTGCAGTACAAAACACCACAGCCTTACTCAGAGCAGGACTTCTGGGACTGGCTCCGGAACTCCACGTACCTCCCGGAGTCCCGCTTCCGAGCCAAGCGGCGTCCCATCGTCAAAACTGGGAAATTCAAGAAAATGTTCGGCTGGGGGGACTTTCAGTCCAACATCAAGACGGTGAAGCTGAACCTGCTGATCACTGGTAAGATTGTGGACCACGGTAATGGGACGTTCAGCGTCTACTTTCGCCACAACTCCACCGGACAGGGGAACGTGTCCGTCAGCCTGGTGCCGCCCACCAAGATCGTGGAGTTCGACATGGCGCAGCAGTCGGTCATCGATGCCAAAGATTCCAAGTCGTTTAACTGTCGCATTGAGTACGAGAAGGTGGACAAGGCCACGAAAACGACGCCCTGCAATTATGACCCTTCGAAGACGTGCTTCCAGGAGCAGACGCAGAGTCATGTTTCGTGGCTCTGTTCGAAGCCTTTCAAAGTCATCTGCATCTTCATTTCCTTCTACAGCACCGATTACAAGCTTGTGCAGAAAGTTTGCCCGGACTACAACTACCACAGTGACACTCCGTATTTTCCATCCGGCTAACACCTCAACTGTGAATGTGGAATAGCAGCAAAGTGAAACGTCTGCCATCCTACTGTCCAGAAAGTGTCTGCGATAGAAATTTAAATTAAGGGTAATTGATTATATGACAGCAAATATTTAACAATTCATTTTTACAACTAAAGGAACACAATGACAAGGGTTACCTATCAATGTGGAAAGATCAAAGAAAGCTAAAATATTAATACTGGAAGCTTTCAATTACATAATTCCATAGCAAATGTAATTTGTTTCAAATTATTTTGGTATAACAGAATTTGCACATTTTTATTTCTTTACTCCGGACAGCTTCTTCATATATATTTTTTATTAAACATTCTTGTGAAATTCATGCGTACATCTTTTTCACATCACACAATCAGTTTTTTGTGTACCAGTGTTGGTATTTCCATTGCATAAGCTTATCAAGCTTTTCCACCAGATAAAAATTTTGTGCCTTTTATTTTTCTTTGATAATAAAAACTTTTATAATTGTATAGTCAGAGCAAAGTGAATTAATACATTGGGGCCAGGGATAATCAAAAAAAGCTTAGGGTTGATTGTGTTGTTACATTTTTGCTTTATATTACATCAGGAAAACATTTTATTTGTACAACAATGATTTTTTTTTTACTGGTGTTAAAGCTTGACACAATTCATGAGTGTCACGTGTTGCAAGCCACAATGTCATTAAGTCTGTCCCCGACTTACGGGTTCCATTCCAAAAGTCTTAAGTATGGGCGTATGTCGGGATAGGGTAATCACACTGACCCTTAGGGCAACCACACTGACCCTTAGGGCAATCACACTGACCCTTAGGGCAACCACACTGACCCTTAGGGCAATCACACTGACCCTTAGGCATGAGAAAGACGCGGAGATGCGTGTGAGGCTGGGATGGTTGTGCTGCCATATAGCGCTTTCCCATAACAACTAGCAGTGCACAGTACAGAATGCAGTACAGTAGCATAGCGCTGCTAGGCGAATGGCTGCCTGAAATTTATTTTTACATATGTTAACTTTAAAAAAAAAAAGTCACATAGATTGTAAGTCGGGGACAGTCTGTATCAGTCAGTCCACTAGATCAGGGGTCACCAACATGGTGACCAGGACGCCCCCAAGGACCACATGAGTGGCCCGCGGACCTGTTCTAAAAATAGCACAACTCACCAGTGAGCAGCGTCTAAAATTTAATTTTATCCTGTTGCTATTCTTCTTTAATCACATTTGCATTTATATAGATTTGAAAATGACAATATCTAAAAAAAGTATTTAAAACATGTTTATTATACATGAAGGTTAGATAAGTTTAGGAGGCCGTTTCAAACTGGTAGCCCTTCGTATGGCTCAGTGCCCGTGAAGTAGCTCTCAGTTTCAGAAAGGTCGGTGACCCCTGCTCTAGAATATATGTACCTACAGGTACATCCCATATTCTCAAAACATCTATAATCAAACTTCATGAGACACTGTGCATTCAAAGATGGGTTTGGGGGGGGGGGGTGTAAAATCAATAGGCTGTAGTGGCGTGCATTCCTTGGGAGATAAGTCTGCGGTGAGATAACCTTCTCAACAGGCATGTTTTATATAAGACAAAAATACAGAGAGAGATTGTCCTCTCAGGCCTTCTGTATTATGGTTTGTGAAGTTTTAGTTTCAAGTGTTATGGCACGTTTTTTTTTTTCCACCTGCCCATTTCTGGGATGTTTTGCTGGCTGTAAATGTGATATATTACATACCCCAGAAGTTAATTTATATGAATGATTTGTAATGTACATAATTTATTCTGTCCACAATGAGCTGCTTCTGTTGATGTGCCAGTCTGTCTGGTTCACCCCTCCTTCTCTTAGCCTCTCTCTCTCTCTCTCTCTTTCTCTCTCTCCCTCCTCTCCCTTTAATCCTCCTCTCTCCCTCTCTTTCTCTCTACCTCCCACCTCTGCTTGCTCCCGGTTAACAAAAACAACGTTTTATTAATGTAGTATTCAAACAAATTAACTATGTACAAATTCAGTAATACAATTGAAATATGTTTAAAAAATACTTGACAAACGTGTGAATGGGAGAGATGGAATGTATATATGAATAAATTATGGAAAAGATGGTTTTTTTTCTCCAGTTGAACACAGCTGTGAGTTATTACCTACAACACTACAGCATAAGGCCATGCAGTCTTGTCAATGACCTTGCTGTCTCTGGCTATACTGAAGTGCTCGGTAATTTTCATTGGTCTGTCAGTGTTGTGTTGCCCCTCCCCTTCAGGCACATCCAATCACACAGCCCCTGTGGCTACACAGAATGGCCCAATTAGACAGACACTACAGCTTCCTTAATGTACATGCTGGCCAATCATAAGTCTGTTTGATTCTTTGCACACTTCCCAAACCTCCATATCATTAGATAGCTTTTAATAAATTGTTTTGTGAGAGAAATATTCTATATTTAACGCAGCATATGCAACAAGAAAGCCAATCACAGCATAGGACATTTACATATCAGAAAACAGCTTCGTATTTAATATCCATGAAACTGAATGTTGGAGAGCTCAGCGCCACAGAAATGAATCACACTTAGCAAAAGACTGTATAAACAGGATGGGGGTGAGGGGGGGGGGGGCATGGGACACAAGGCAGGGGTACACACTGCAGGGGATGCCACAGGGCACGTTCATGCACACACTGACAGATAGCCTATCTGCTATTGCTGCAAAGTGCAGTGAAATCTCAGCTCAGAACCTTCTGCAGGACAGAAAATGGGTGTCTTTTCAGAAGTACATGTATCAGATGCATATATAGGCTATATGCATATGTGTGTGTGTGTGTATACATCTAATACATGTATTTGTGAAAAGACACCCATTTTCTGTCTTGGACAAGGTTCTGGGTCGAGATTTCAAAGGAAAATGGTAAAAAGGTGAGACTAAGTGTCAAAATGGCACTGGAGAGAAAAGCTACCATATTAAAATGCGTCATTTTATAATTAAGGGATGTTATGGTAATTTTGCACTTACTATTGCTCAGTCAATGCATTTCAGCAAAAACTAGGTGCTGTCGAAATGACAAAAATGTCTTCCCTGAACAGCCCTGTCACCCCCTCTCACCAATTTCATCCCTATTCCTAGAAACACCCCTATTCCTCCAACCTCTACAATCTGTAACCCCTCTACACACTCTTCCCGCCTCTCCAAAAAATCTTTAACAAAAGCCCAACTTTGTGCAATTTTTCTCAATGTATGACTGTAGCTGTGTGTCACTGCCCTTTCATGCACCTCTGATTGTGGATAGCATATTCAGAAAATCTTCTTGCACCCCACAGTTTAAGAACGCTGTCCTATACAGTGCTCATTGGAAGTTTGAAAAAGATATCAAAAGTTTTATCAAATACTTTTACAGTTACTATTTTCAGGCCAAGTATCTCTTGCAGTCACCATTTCCTTCCTTTGTTGCAAATAGCACTGCTGCTGCATTTTTGGAATAATTTATCTTGAGATATTCATCCATATAATGTTTTTGTTAAGTGGTAATATGATCTTTAAATTTGAATTACCGTATTAATGAGATCAAGTGTCAAAACTACCATTTTATTTGCTATCACTATGCAAGCCTGCTTTAATTTTGCTGTCTCAAAATTTGATCAGTTGAGTTATTGCGTTAACAGGAACACGTCTGTGGTGGATTAGTCCCAAAAACATATTCCCAATCATATTCATGCAAAAGAACGAATGGATACATTTACAACCAAACAAAAATAGCTACAGGACAAATAAAAAATTTGGATTTTATTTTTATTATGAATTGAGTCGATGTCAAATTAACTGTATTTGTCAATTACCTAAAAGCACATATATTGCAATGGTAAAATAACTACAAAGCTTTCAGAATATGCAGTTGAATAGATTGGCAGCATCAGAAAGGAGTTTTACTATTACTGCTAACAATTGCAGATTATTAGAACTTTCCAATAAAAGTAGAAATAATATTATAAAATATCATCCACTGAAAATTACTGAAATAGATCTCTACAAAGTCTACAATGTCAGAGCGTTTGGAAAGTTAGAATTAGAAGTACAGTATACTCATCCATTTTCCACATTTGTGGTGAGCCTGCCTGGAGTCTATCCCCAGAGGCACAGAGCTGCAGATACCCTGGAATGGATACAAGTTCAGGGCATAGAACTGCAATTTTACAGCTAGTCCTTTACAGCTTTGAAAAACAAACATATTATTCATTTTTTATCTGATTTTCCTGTGTTCGTCAATCTAACCAGTCACTTAATTTACACCAAAAACATTACAAATTTAACCAACTTCTGCCAAAAAAAACATGATTTTCTTAAACAGTGTACATATTTTCTAGGAAAACATTACAACAAGCAATGAGAAATGTCACCTAATTTAAAAGGAATCCTGATTTCATGGCATTCTGATATCATTGTAATATTACATACAAATCTCTTTATTACATTTACTATACATATGATCTCTACATGTAACAGTATCCCAGTGCATCATGGTCTTATTTTTCAAGCTGTGATGCTGCCCAGAGGTAACATGGAAGCTTGTGTAATGCACTTTTCCTGTCTTAAGCGAGGATAGGAACAATGGCTTAGGAACAACGGCGTATTCTTCAGTAAAGGCTTTTTTCTAAAATCAGATCAGAGTCATCATGGTTAACAGTTAGTATAGGATCTGCAAGTTTGGAAGTTTCTGTAATACAGCCCCGGGGTGGAACAGACAGAATAAATGAGAATTCAGTCAAAATCGATCTGTTGTGACTTAATATGCAATGTAACCAGTCAGATGAGTTTGATGGGTTACTTTGACAAAAAAATTTAATGCTTGCTGGTATAATTGAAATTGTGATTTAAATAATAATTTAAATTTCAATTTAAATTATAATTTAAATGAACTTTTAAATTACATATTTATTAATAATCATTAATATAACAATTTAAATTTAAATAATTATAAAAATTACATTTATTTGAATAGATTTTGTGTTAGTAAATTTACAAGTCATTGTAAAGTCATTTACAAGTTAGTAAAATTACAAGTCATTTATAATAAATGCAATTCCTTTAAGGGCAGAGGAAGAAGCCAAAAAAAGGAGAAATCTGACATTTGTCACACTGCACTGTTTATGTGTTGTTAGCTGTAGCTGGATTGCTGGAAAACAAACCGTACACATGGAGTCTATTATTAAGTGTGACAGCTCCATTGGATTTGATTGGCAGGAACTAATTTTTTCATCTTAGGGAAATTGGCGGGAAAAATACCAAAGCAAAACAACATGGCAGCATAAAATCAGATTACAACCCTGTACTTGCCATGGCTCTGAAGATAGTGTTAGCCTAAACTTCTTGTATATTTACTAGATCCCTTGAATTTTGCCCAAATTATGTGCATCTTCTAGGTTATGCAGTTTAGTTAGAAATGTGGTGCATATTCCTATTGTAATGTTGCAATTACAATTAAACTAAAATACCAGCATTGCAGAGGAAGTGAAATGATCATTAGTTATTTTTGGTAGGGGGGCCTCTCAAGTAAAGCTTTCCATTGGTCCCCCAAGGATGGTAGAGCTGACCCTGACCTGAGTTGCCTGGGTAAATACTGTAAGTTCATTGTTTTTTTTTTGCCTTCAATCTAAATAATACAACAAACAAACAAACAAATAGAAAACCTAATCTGAAAGACTTCTTTGCTAAGCACCAGCACGTTTTATTTATTTTAATTGTGATGAGATTCAAGCAAAACAGAAGCAGTGGAATCTTACAGCGTATGAAATAAAAAATAAAACTGAACAATAAAAATGTGTCATTTACTTTGTGCTGGACTGTTTTTTGGTGCAATGACAGTGTTTATCAGCCTATGCTGGATGAGTAAGCAATACAGTATCGCTATACTGACATCCCCCTTACCTCTGTGCTGTATCACAGCCTTGTATATTTTAAATTGCTTGGAGCCTTAAAACACTGGAGGAACAAAGAAGAGGTAGAGACTGAAAGGAAAAGGACAGACTATTAAAGGGACGTGGTCTTCAGGGAGCAAAATTATATTGCTAGAAATAATAGAGAGTTGTTGGTAAAATACTTTAAGAACTTCTGCTCAGGTATCCGTATAAAAAGATAATCTAATTGTAAATAATAACTGTTCAGTTTAACTTGGGCAAATTTGAGTCGT